TGAAAGTATTATTTTTCAAAAAATCCCATGTGGTTATGTTAATGTGTCAGGATTAACAATAAGATTCTTCGGTGTATGTTTCTTTAAAAGCAGGCTCCTTTGGAGGAAATTTGTAAAATTTTACCTGATTCTGACACTGTACTTAGTATTGTGCATGGTAAAGATAAATGTTAAATAAATGTGTAAGTGTTCTTGGCTCATGTAAAACTATTTCCTTTTTGTAACTAATTAAGAATTGAAGACAATCTAAGGAGGAATCTTTGTGGTTTTTCAGTTATTTCTTTTAGAGGGCCCAAGAATGTGCTCTATGCATTTTTACTTAAAAGACAAATTTTTTTAAAAAGTAAACTCTACGCCCAATATAGGGCTTGAACTCACAACCACAAAATCAAGAATTGTATGCTCTACTGACTCAGTCAGCCAGGTACCCTCTCTATGCATTCTTTTCCTTCCTTCCTCCCTCCCTTCCTTTCTTTTGATAGAGACAGCAAGTACTGAAGGGGCAGAGAGAGAGGGGGAGAGAGAATCTTAAGCAGGCTCCACAGCCACTGGGAAGCCCAATGTAAGGCTCAATCTCATCAACAGTCAGATCATGACCTGAGCCAAAATTGAGTCAGACTCTTAACCAACTGAGCCACCCTGGCACCCCACCAGCCTTTTTTTTTTTTTAATACATGTTTTATTTATTTCTGGGAGAGAGAGACAGCATGAGAAGGAGAGGGTCAGAGAGAGAGGGAGACACAGAATCTGAAACAATCTCCAGGCTCTGAGCTGGCTGTCAGCACAGAGCCCGACGTGGAGCTCGAACCCATGAACCATGAGATCATGACATGAAGTCAGACGCTTAACTGACTGAGCAACCCCGGCGCCCCCACCAGGCATTTTTAAATGCATATGCTAGATGCAGTTTATCTTGAGTTACTAATACACTGAGCCTACCAATAGCAGCCTTTCTAGTTGGACTTTAGGGGAATTTTTCACTATATGAAAGGTGTTAGGAAATTTTCTTCTTTTCATTTTGTGCTCTTCCAAGACAATAGGTCTTCTATATATGTTTGGGTACCAATGATTAACTCATTCAAACTACTGCCTTTGACAATCTTTGGTTTCACATGGTTTCATCACGATACCTGCTTATCAAAGGTAGGAAAGGTGTTACTCCTATGTTAAGTGCTGACCCGTAGGTTTTGCATGTTTTCAAAGTTTAAAATCAGAGGTCTTTGGGGGGCCTGGCTGGCTCAGTTGGTGGAATATCTGACTTTTGATCTCAGGGTCATGAGTTCGGGCCCCAAGATGGGTGTGAAGATTACTTATAAAAAAAATCTCTTATTTAAAAAAAGATGTTTAGGGGCGCATGGGTGGCTTAGTCGGTTCAGCGTCCGACTTTCGCTTAGGTCATGATCTCGTGGTTCGTGGGTTGGAGCCCCGCGTCGGGCTCTGTGCTGACTGCCAGCTCAGAGCCCGGAGCCTATTTCGGAGTCTGTGATTCCCTCTCTCTCTGACCCTCCCCTGCTCACGCTGTCTCTCTCTCTCCTAGAAATAAATAAAAAACATTAAAAAATTAAAAAAAAAAAGATGTTTATTTGTTTTGAGAGAAAGAGAGAAAGAGAGAGAGAGAGAGACAGAGAGTGAGCGAGCACAACAGGGGCAAAGAGAGAGGAAGAGAGAATCCCAAGCAGGCTCTGCATTGTCAGCACAGAGCCCAACACAGGGCTGAATTTCACGAACTGTGAGATCATGATCTGAGCTGAAATCAAGAGTCAGACACTTAACCGACTAAGCCACCAAGGTGCCCCCAATGTAAAATCTTTTAAAAAAGCTTAAAGCCAACCTGAAACTATAGATAGTGATTGACAGAGATTTGTATTAAAACCTTATCTAACATGTATACTGCTTTACAAATGAATAAAGCCCTTCTAAAAGACATATTTTTAAAAAGATTTTTAAAAAATTATTTTTAAGTTATCTCTACACCCAAAATAGGGCTCAAACTCACAACTCCGATATCAAGAGTCACATGTTCCACTGATGTAGCCAGCCAGGCACCCCTACTTTATCTTTTTAAGTGAGAGAATGTACTATGTGTCATGAAATAATGTTTGCATTTAAATGCATCCTTCTAACTCATGTTATTTTTTTAAATTTTTATTTTTTAATATAATTTATTGTCAAGTTAGCTCACATACAGTGTATACAGTGCTCTTGGTTTTGGGGGTAGATTCCCGTGATTCATTGCTTACATACAACACCCAGTGCTCATCCCAAGAAGTGCCAGCCTCAATGCCCATCACCCATTTTCCCCTCTCCCCCACCTCCCCCCATCAAACCTCAGTTTGTTCTCTGTATTTAAGTCTCTTGTGGGTTTGCCTCCTTCTCTGAAACTATTTTTTCCCCTTCCCTTCCCCCATGGTCTTCTGTTAAGTTTCTCAAGTAACTCAAGTGTTTCTAAAAAGTGTCTGTTTTATTACTTCATTTAAAGGTAGAGGTGGTCAATAACAGTAAAAAGGGATAGGGATCTCAGCTTACCCAACATCACAGGTCAACTGAAGATAAAATGAAAAATACTGATTATAAATGGTTGGATTACTGTAAGCTATCAAGTAGACAATCTCTTGTTGCCTGTCTCTGCTTAGACTGCCTTTTAAAAAGGAAAATCCAGGGGGCCTAAGTGACTCAGTCGGTTGAGCATCTTGACTCTTGATTTCGGCTCAGGTCATAATCTCATGATTCATGGGATTGAGCGCAATGTTGGGCTCTGTGCTGACAGTGTGGGGCCTACCTGGGATTCTCTCTCCTTCACTCTGTCCCTCCCCTTTCGCTTTCTCTCTCAAAATAAAAATATTCAAAAGATAAATAAAAAAGGAAATTCACTGGAGGTATAGAGCTCTAACTGTACATCCTGTGGTACCCTGTTCAAATCCAGGTGTCTCTCAGACTCCTGGCCTTTAGAAGTACTATACTATAGTGAATACAAACTCTGATTCTGGAATTAGCCAATCCAGGGCTTTAATTTCGTCTTAGTTAATAGAGGTAGCCATGTGACAATTTTGGCCATTGAGACATAGGGAAAGTAATTGGGTAGGGGTTCTGGAAAACTTTTAAAGTTTATTTATTTATTTAATGATCGCTACACCTAATGTGGGGCTCAAACTCACAACCCCGAGATCAAAAGTTGCATGTTCTTTTTTTAAGTTTGTTTATTTATTTTGAGTGAGAGGGAGAGAGAAAATCCCAGGCAGGCTCTGCACCGTCAGTGCTGAGCCTGACATAGGGCTCGAACTCACAAACCATGAGATCACAATCTGAGCCGAAACCAAGAGTTGGGCACTCAACCACTCAAGCCACCCAGGCAACCCCTTTTATTTTCAAGTTTATTTATTTAAGTGGAAAACTTTTTAAAGAGGGACAAAAACAAATGACATATACTTTCTTTTCCCTTCCTTCTGTCTAGAACATGGATGTGATGCTAGAGGTGGCATAACTATTTTATAGTGACAAGGATGAAGGTCACATACAAAGTATGAAAGCCAGAAGAATCTGGATCTGTGAGGGCATCATGGGGCTGCATTACCAGCCTTGGACTGCTGACCTCCAGACTTTTTAATGCGAGAAAAATAAAACCAGTCACTTGTTTAATTTGTTTTTTGGGTCCATTTTTTGCAGCTTAACATTAAGCTGACACATAAATTCACAAGATTATTTGAGGATTAAAAGAGAAAAATCTATGTGAAGAGTATAACACAGTTTCTGGCATATAGCAAGTTACCAATGAATGGTTGCTATTATTTTGGAGAGATTGGCTCACTGTCAGCAGAGAAAAAAAATCAAACATTGGATAAACCATTTGGGAAGGGAAGACAAGTGCTGAATAGAAGATAGGGCAGGATTATAAAAAATTCAGATCACATTCAGAGCCAAACCATGCACATAAGGGGTCTGACGTATAGAAGGTACTCAGTATATGTGATTTCTTTGGTGATTCTGTCTCTGAAAACACAAATTGATGTCATTTGTTCACATGAGAACCTTGATACATGAAGATGAGATTAGGCAGAGATTGTCAGGAACTCTGAGAAGAGTTTTATCTACACAGTTAGATCTTAGTGAGGCATTCCATTCAGTGTCTCATGTTCTCCTGCTTGAGTAATATGGTCAAGATGTGGATTAGAGATACCCAAAAAAGACACTGACAAACAAAATGCCACCAGAGACGGTGGATGACACAGATGTGGTCTGTCATCTTGATGACTCAGACACTAGGTCCTAGAGGAACAGAAATTTGCTGAATCAAGATATCTGTTTTGTTGCCAAACTGGAAGTTAATAATATCAGTCAATCCAGAGGAAAAAAAATACAACTGAACTTGAACACATGGGCAGAGAAGAACTCAATAAATCCAGCTTGAAACCTTTAGAAAAGTATGATGAAGAGACTGTGAAGACATAGGATGATCAGAGGATTATGTTAATATATAATATATGAAAAATGAAAAAAAGGTTGATATTTGTAATCAAGCCTCTATAGGAATTCACTATGGAGTAGGAGCTCATTTCAAGCCAGAAAAAGAAAGAAACTGGAAAGTTAAAAGGACTACTAAAATTTAGCCTTTTTTTTTTTTTTTTAAGACTTAAATGTCAGAAATGGAATGACCTACAGAGAATCAACTGATGAAGAGAAGGAAAATTTGTAGTGATTAACACAAAGCCATTACGGAATGTAAATACCAAGGGAAAGTCAAGTGAAAAGACCTAAAAGGCAACAAATCAGAGACTACAACTATCATATTTTCAAAACTGTAATTAGGTATTACCAAATAAAGTAAATAAACAACTCTTAAGTTAGAGTGCAAAATGAAAACATCTTATTATTTTAAAGGTGCAAAAGCAAGAAAATATAACATAAGTGTATCCACATTTTAAATAGTTGTTTGTGTGGTAGGTTAATGCCATTTAAAAACACTTGCAATAGAAAAATGATTAATAAAGTCAGAGTACAGAAGATCAGAAAAATCAGTGTTTAATACCAACTTTAACTATAAATAACTAAAAAGAAACACTGTCCTCCATCCTGTTTTTGTGTCAACATCTATGTCTTCTGTTCCTTGCCTTTTGGAGAAAACATTGCATTGTAAGGCTGCCGTCTTTTGGGACGAGGACAAGGATCAAGATCTTCCTTAATGTAACCTTAAAAACAAATGACAAATTTAGAAGACTGTATTTGCAACATGCATTTCTTTCAGCATGTACCCAGCAAAACTGTCTTATTTAATGCCTTCTAAGTTTACATGATCCTGTGATTATTAGCTGTGCGATGTTAATGCATGATTTCCCTACTTAGCATCAGTCTCCTCACTGATACTAACAGTAACAGCAAACATTTATCAAATGTTATATATATGACCTCAGCTAATGCTCACATTCTTTTGAAGTAGCTTCTACTATACCTACTTCACAGAAGAGGTAATGGAGACCCAAGGAAGTTAAATAACTTACTCAAGTTCACAAAGCTATGAAGGGGGAGAGATGGGACCTTGCCCAAGATCTGTCTAACTCCCAGAACCAGAGCTCTTAAGTACTTTCCTATTCTGCCTCCTACAGGTTGCAAATGGGGACAAACAGCTAAACAAGAATGGTTTGCTATTATAATTCCAGGTGATTATCAAAAAGACTTTCTGCAGCAGCTACTTTAGAAGATGTGCCCATGGCCCTGTACTCTTCAACCACCCGATTCTCCTACGGTGTCTTGAGTCATATGCTGTGCACTCTGCTATACCCCCTTAGGCCATGGTAGGCGCAGAAAAACAGGCTCTATCCGGATTGTGTAATTCTATCTGAAGACCAGGCAGCAGCATTTGTCAAAGGGAACTTAATTTGGCTTATTAATGGGGAAAATGAAAATATATTGTAATAGCTACAAGAGACTTAGCTTCAAAGCTGTATACATTCTGAAATCATATAAAATATAAGTGCTATATATACTTGAAGGAGCTAGTTACAACAGCTGCCAAACAAACAAAGGTCCTTTTTACTCAGATATGGTTTATAAAGACCCATATCTAAAATTCAGACTCATTGCTTTAAAAAGATTCTCTCTTTTTAACAACACATTGCTGGCAACTTTTATAATGTTGTTATTTTATTAAAAGTCATTTTGATGATAGGATAAAAGAGACATTTACTTTCTGAAATTTGAATGACAAACCAGGATAATGAATATATAACTAAAGTGATTATATACAATCTCTGATTCCAATGGCATTACTCAAAGTTAAAGTTAAGCCTTTTATCTTTAGGAATTTGTTTTTTATGTCATAGAACTAGCCCCTGAGCAGAAGGTAAAGAGAACCATGGGAGAGGGGCACTTGGGTGGCTTAGTCGGTTAAGTGTCCGACTTTGACTCTGGTCATGATCTCATAGCTTATGAGTTTGAGCCCTGGATGGAGGCTGCTTTAGATTCTGTGTCTCCCTCTCTCTCTGCTCCTGCCCCACTCAGTCTGTCTCTCTTTCAAAAATAAATAAACAACAACAACAAAAAAATAAGGAGAACCATGGGAAAAAACTCTAATGTTTAGACTTGGGTATATACACTATTTCAAAAAAATTAATTCCAAAATATTATAACTTATATTCTCACCTCTTTCCATACACGTCTGAGTGGAAGGAAAACCAACTTCCCAGAAATTCTCTGGTGTGTTGGGTGGAATGTAGCGGAATCGGTGTCTTGAACAGGAAGCCAGCTTCTTTTCTCTTTCTTCCGCTGGAATATCTGCATAATACTGATAATAAAAACTGGTAAGTTTTTCATTTAGAAATAATACATGGACTATTATGCTTATTGATTAAAACCAGAAGCTAAGGAAGTTGTCAAAGTATTCAGCATGTTAGGGAACAACACTCGCTGAAGACAATATCAGTAATTACTACTAATAACACCGGTGCTGGTCTGTAAAATGTTTGCTCCACAAATGAGTAAAAGGAGCTTGTAGCTTGTGTCACAATGTAAATCAATATGATTCTTTTTTTCATCAATAAAGTCTTACAATACAAACCCCAAACCTGCCAGCTTAACTTTATAACATGCTTAGTGGCAGAGCTGGTCTATAGGGTGCAGAGTCAACTTTGTCAGGCCAGTAACAAAACTGCACTTTGGCACTTTTCTCAGTTGTTATTTGGATATAACACGTGTGTTTTGAAGTAATTTTTTAATTTAGGTTTTTACAAATAAAAGTTTAGTTTTGAATGTTGCAGGCTTCAGGATCCCATTTAAATATTTTTTAATTAAGATCAAAGACATATTTCTTGCAACTGCAACCCAAACAACTTGAATTTCATGAAAACAAGGTTTTAACCTGTATGTAAAAAATGTATAGGTCTTTTGAAAACAAGGCAGTTGTGTGAAGTGTAATAGAACACACCACAGGACCACACAATCCAGCCAATCCCACTTCATACTTGAGAAACTAAAAAGCAAATTGATAATTTACTGGCGATATCATCTATTGAAAGTGGCAGAATTAGGACTATAACTTAAGGTTGAAGTAAAGGTTTTAAATACATTTTTCTTTTACACAAATTAGTTAAAGGCTTCTGGGTACTTCTGAAACAACTATTTTGGGGACTTCTTCATTTTTCTCACTGACAAGACTTTGTTACTTGAGCCTGGACACTGGGGTGGGATGACCTTAGAGAATCATGGTTATCAATCTATTTAGAGAAATGCTGCCACCAAATTACAACATACACAAAAGCACCAGTAGGTTGGTGTAGCTGTAACACAGTGAGAACCTGGGAGGGTGGTGACCAACATCAGAGAGGAAGTGGGGTGCCAGAGTTTGCTGTTCTGATAAGAACTCTTAGATTCTATTTCTTTGTGAGATGGGAAGATATTTAAGGGTTTCACGTAGAGAAATGACAAGATTTAATTTTTATTCTAAAAAGGTCATTAGGAAAAAAAAAGACCATTCAATGCTGTGCTAAAAGTACACTGGGAAGACAGAAATTAAGTAGATGCCTGTCCTCTCCAAGCCACCTTGTGCTGATGCTCTCAGGCCCTGTCCTGCCAGCCCACATTTCTGACTCTCTCTCCCCTCTGGCATGTAGGCCAGGAACTGAAGCACCCATTGCTGATATAAAGAAGACCTTTAATCCTAGGCAATTTCCCAACTGGGGGCAATAAAATCATTAACATCTCAGAAATACTTTTCTCAAAAAGAAAGAAATATTGTGAACAGACAAAAAAGAAAAATGGGGACAGAAGTATATGGTAATTCTCTGTACTTTATGCTCTAGTTTGCTGTGAATCTAACACTGCTTTCTAGAAACCGTCGGTTAATTAAAGCAAAACAACACAAGGAAAGCACTTAGAAGTTATTTCAATAGTCCCGGCAAGATGAAATGGTACCTTGGTCCAGGGGGTTAGTGGTGGTGATAGTAAGTGGGTGGAAATGGGATACACTTTGAAAGCAGAATTGATGGGATTTGCTGATAGATCGGTTAGTGAGAAATGAAAGAACAGAACAGAGGACAACTATAAGAGCTTTGGTTTAAGCAGCTAGAAGAATGGACATACAGGAGACTCAAGAGGCTTGGGAATCAGCGGTGAAAACTTGAGATGATTATTACACTTCCACATGTGTATTACATATTCCACAGGTGGAAGAGACATTGGGAATACATTTAGGAATGGTAAGCATACAGATATTTAAACATGTAGGACTGGCAATTTGACTCCTGGTCAGTCATGAGAGAGTAACAGGAACAGATTTATCTCCTATCTTAAACAACAAAAACATTGGAATTAAATGTATGAGATAATAGTTTTTAGAGACTGAAAAACAGCACAGGCAATGATTCCTGAGAGAAGGAAAGCAAATTAAGTGTTTCTAGCACAAGAGCTTTTTTTCTAACTGGTAGTGTAAGAGTCATGGTTATAACTAAAAATCGGAGGTCTGCATAGGATAGACCATGTTCTTTAGTTAAGAAATCATGGTATGCTCAATTTGTGTTAGGAAATTCATGATACAGATTTTGCTTGCAATGCCAAACTGCTTTCCAAAATAGCAATCTCAATTTATATTGCCACTGTTAGAGGCTATTTCTCACCAAATGCTTACCTGCACTACAAACTATCCATACAGAACTTTAATCTGCTTGGTTATCAGGTTTTCTAGCCCACAGCTATTAAAAAGAAAATTTAAACGGGGAACTAAATTGCTAGAGGCAGGCATCTAATAGCTAACAGATAGCAAGGAAAAAAAATAAAGAAGCATGTTTCAGGAAAACACAGAACCTACCTGAGAGATATCTGGTAGACGGGAGGAGTACTACCTACTTCAATAGTTCAAGATGGACAATGTATAAGAGGAAGATGTACTTGTGCTCTAAGGGTGAAATAGAGCCTGTTCATCACAATTTGTTTAGGAAGGAATGTTTGGGGAAAAAGTTAAGAGCTTATGGTCATACCACTTATTCAGAAAAAAAATATGAATACATCTCACTTCCTGAGAGTGCTGGTTAAAGTTTCCTACTAAAATATCAAGGGGCACCTGGATGGCTCAGTCCATTGGGTGTCTGACTTCAGCACAGGTCATGATTTCGTGGTTTGTGAGTTCGAGCCCTGTGTCAGGCTCTGTGCTGACAGCTCTGTGGTGACAGCTCAGAGCCTAGAGCCTGCTTTGGATTTTCTCTCTCTCTCTCTCTCTCTCTCTCTGCTCCCCACTCCCCACTTGTGCTCTGTCTCTGTCTCTCAAAAATAAATAAATGTAAAAATAAATTTTTTAAAATAAAATATCAAAAATTTCCCCAAATACTTTATATAGAAGAGCTTTGCTGTAACATAACATCAGGGGAAAACATTAAAACAAATAAAAATAAACACAGAAAAGAAAAATGGCAAAATGTCTTAGGCTGGTAAAAAGAACTAGGGCTTAGGTTCCAGGTTCACTTATTGAAAATTTGAGAGAAGTTGAGGGCTTTCATTTTCATCTATTTATATCTCTCAGGTCACAACTGGTGTGCTCTTTCATTATTCATCCTGCTATTCCTGGCCTGAACTAGGTTTCTAGATTTGTATCTATGATTTTTAAAAAATGCATTTATAATCTTAAAGCCATTTAAAAACAGTCACTGGACAGTATTTACATTAGTACTTACAATTTCACATTCTTTACATGTGTGTCCAAGCAATTTCCTTCTCTCTTCTTTTTTCCGAACTACCTCAATATGAGGAAAATTTTGTAAGCTAGTCTCTCTGGAAAAAAATGAATTAAATTTAAAAATTAATCCATTTGTTACTATAAAGATCTTTGGTTTAGATTTTTAATTAACAAAGGTGAGGACCCAGAGAAGAAATAATCCCAAAACATTCACTCATTTTATTTGAAATGTTTATTCAGTATGTTAGAAAACAATTTTTTTATGCATTCTTCATTAAATACTTATTAGGTGCCTACTATATGTCAGGTATTTTTATGTATATTGTTCTCTAACTGAAAAAAGATAACTATTATTTCCTATTTTTGCCTGAAAATTTACCTGGTTGGCTGAAAATAATATATAAAATAACCTAATTTAAAAAGGAATATTGTATTATTAAAGTCAGGAATTGGTATAACATAACCAAAAAAAGAATAACTACCTCTGTTAACTCAGTTTTCTTTAAGAACCTGTATTTCTGGGCTAACCTATTCCCCTTGAAAAAGAGATTCATCTGTTTGTATGTCATCTTCATTTTCTCTAAAAATTTATTTTGCTGCCTCTATTCACCCTGGATTCTTCAAAATGTTAGGAACAATTATTTGCATTTATCCTTATATGGATCAGATCCTATTGAGAACTCCTGGAAACCCAGGAAAGGTCAAAGCCACTGAGGTATTAATGAGGTATGGAGTGTTCTGGGAAAAAAAAAAAAGGCACAGAACTTTTAATATACTTGTATCCTGCTTTAAGTTTTAAAGCCCAATATAGAAAAATCCAAACTTACAAAATAGGTAAATGACACCTTAAGTGTTGGTATACATATTTGTTTATAATAGAAACATCCCCAGTGGGCTTAAACAGTCTGACTCACAAAAACTGATTTCTAAAACAACTTATTGGTAACATATCCAATCCTCTGAGGTATTTTGATTGTATGCCTCTCTACTTGACAAGCACTTTCCCTCAAAAGAAAGCTCCAATCCCTCTGTGTCAAAGTATATGAGGTTATAGGTCTTTTGGGTTCTTAAACCCAACAACTCTCAGCCTTAGAGCAATCTGTAAATTAAAAGGACAGATAAAAATTGCTTTCTTTCAAATCGTTTATGGAATTTTAAAAGCTTATGTAGAATACATTCTGGCCATATCATATCCTCTCCTCTGAGTACTATCTATTCTGCTACTATAGTGCGTTATAAGGTTGCAGGGAATCTACTAGTAGACTGGCATCTGTAGCAAACTTTAAAGCTTCTTTCCCTCTTATAACACGACCCATCTTCCCAGGGTTTGCTATTGTTGTCTGTGGGGAAAGAAACAATGCGAACTCTGAGACTTTTACAATGCCCATGCGTCAGACCCACCTCCTGAATCTCCAGCTATCTAATGGTTTCAGAATAAATAAAACTACTCATTTATTTGAAATGACAGTTCTTCCCTTGCAATCTTATTTCAAGAAGTCTATACCAAAGATATATAAAATTATGAAAAAAGAATGTAAAATATTATTCAATGCAGCATTCTGTTAGCATAACTGTAAATACCCCAAAAACCCATTACTAAGGAATTAACCAATAAATTTATTGGTTTTTATTTAACCATTAATTTATTGATGGTACCATCAATAAAGTACTATATAACTAAAAAAAAGAAGTGAGGAATATCACTATATGCTATTATGAGTGATTTCCAGGATATATACTTAAGCGAAGAAAGCAAAAGCAGAATAAAGTATATATAGCACTCTACCATTTGTCTAAGGGGAGAGAGACTGACAATATATTTCTGTATAGATATTAACTTTTATTTTTTAAAATGGATTGAAACCCATAAATTTTAACAAATGGTTACCTTTAGGGATAGGGAGCTAAGAGGTAAAGGGGACAATGTTAGAAGCCAGACTTATCTGAATATACCTTGTTTTGTAGCCTCTGATACTGTGTATATAGTGTATGTAACTTAAAAAAAGAATTAAAGATAAAAAGAAAAACCTAAAAAGTTCAAAAGCAAAATAAAACAAACCTAGGGACTGAGTTGGTGGTATACCTACATGAAAAATAATTGTTCCAAATGGCTTTAAAATATAGTGACTAGGGACGTCTGGGTGGCTCAGTCGGTTAACCATCTGACTTCGGCTCAGATCATGATCTCATGGTTCGTGGGTTTGAGCCCCACATCAGGCTCTGGGCTGACAGCTCAGAACCTGGAGCCTGCTTCAGATTCTGTGTCTTCCTCTCTCTCTCTGAACTTCCCCTGTCCCTGACCCTTACACTGTCTCTCTCTCTCTCTCAGAAATAAATACATAAATAAAATACGGTGACTAGACTATACATTTATAATAGACATTTCTTTTTTTCATTTTTAGAATTTATATGAAAAGATGCAGATAACACGATACAGCTTAAGAACAAAAACCCCCAAAAAGACATGTTAAGCCATTTTCATAAATCATATTATCAATGATAATTTACATTATTCTGAGACTGCTCTATATATACATCTGTATCTACTTTCCCCCTACTGAAAATTTTACTTTTCAGTACTACAAACATAATTTCTCATTTAACTAAAGAATAAAGTGTGTAGTTTGTAGTACTGAACTACTGTTTGTAGAACTCAAAAGTAAAATTTTCAGTAGGGGGAAAGTAGATACAGATGTGAGACAGAAGAGGTTACATAAAAATCCTGTAGTTTTGAACCTGAGTTGGAGCTATTGGTATGAAAAAGTACAGTTATCTTGAAAAACAAAAATGAAACAAAAACCTTATTCCTAACTCTGTCCACCTAAAAGATTTACAATGACTACCTAAAAGTTCTAGAAACAATGACTAACTGTAGCAATGAGCGACACTACTGGTTAAACTAAATTTGTTTTTCACTAAAAGAAACTAGGGCTCCTGAAAAAATGGCAGATTCCAGGCCTCTGGCAGGAAGTGTACAAGAGAGCCTAGAACATGATATATGATGCCAGAAGCAAGAAAGCTAGGAAAGACTTGGGTAGTGCCCATTCAAAGAGACTGGAGGCAAGATGTGACAATTTGAGTATAAATAAGAATAAGTGCGAGGTGCCTGGGTGGCTCAGTTGGTGGAGCGTCTGACTTCGACTCAGGTCATGATCTCACAGTTTGAGAGTTAGAGCCCCACATCAGGCTCTGACAGCTCAGAATCCAGATCCTGCCTCAAATTCTGTGTCTCCCTCTCTTGTCCTTTCCCCACTTGTGCTCTGTCTCTCCTTTTCTCTTTCTCTCTCAAAAATAAACACTGAAAATTTAAGAAAAAAAGAATAAGTGAAAGAGACTGAAATACATGAAACATTTAAATCCATGAGTTCATAATGACATCACAAATAACAACTCCCTAGTCACATTTGGGAAGCTAGAGTACTATTTCTTTGGATAACTGGTAAATAAAAGGAAAAGAATTAAACATATAGTAATTTAAAAAAATAGCTCTTATCTATTACAGTCTTATAGGTATCAATAAAGATTTATCTTGGTATGTCAGATCTCTAAAATTCTCAACAGAAATCAAAGTATAGGGGCGCCTGGCTGGCTCAGTTAGCGGAGCATGCAACTCTTGATCTTGGGATCACAAGTTCAACTGAGCCTCACATTAGATGTAGAGATTACTAAAAAAAAGTGTATAAAGTTAAAAAAAAAAAAAAAAGTATGGGGTGCCTGAATGGCTCAGTTGGTTGAGCATCTCACTCTTGATTTTGGCTGAGGTAATGGTCTCCTGGTTCAGGAGGTCAAGCCCCATTCGGGCTCTGCGCTGGCAGCACGGATCCTGCTTAGGATTCTCTCTTTCCCTCTCTCTGTTGCTCCCCTGCTTATGCTCACTCTTGCTCTCAAAATAAATGAATAAACACTGAAAAACATCATTAAAAATGAAAGTATAAAATATACTTTGCTTATTGAGGGACTCAATTTGTCAACATCATAACTTGAAGGGAAAAAAGCATAAAAATTCTTTTGAATTGAATTATTACGCTTAACTTCACTTCTAAAATAAACAATACATGATTAAAAGTTACAGAATTCGCCATATTTGAATAAAAGGGACAAAGTAGCATTCTGGTTCAAAATCAAGATGCTTTGTTTTTCTTTTAAGGTTTAAAACTCTTCGGGTGCCTGGGTGGCTCAGTCGGTTAAGGAACTGACTTCGGCTCAGTTCATGATCTCACGGCTCTGTGCTGACAGCCTGGAGCCTGGAGCCTGCTTCAGATTCTGTCTCTGCACCTTCCCGACTCTTTCTGTCTCTCAAAAATAAATAAATGTTACAAATTAAAAAAAAAAATCCTCATGAAATAATTTTCAAGCACAACCTAAGGCCTTACCTAAAGTCCTATATATACTATGTAACAGTTATATAATTTAACAAATTCCTGGAGTTCAAATAAAGTCCACAACAAAACAGAATAAGAATAAAAATATCTGTTATAAAAGAGAGAAAATAACTATTAACATTGTCAAAAAAAGTAGCAGTGACATAAATTTGTAATATTTGTCATTTTTACGCGTAGGTAAGATGCAGTCTATTTTAACCAAAGTAGCCACCTAATAGTTCAGAGGTACATGACCAAGATAGCTCTGTTGTACTTCCAATCATGTTGCTGGTATTAATCAAGACCAACTTACCTTTCATCATCTTTAAAATATGGCTCCACAAATGCTTTCTGTTTGACTTTATCTTGTTTATCACTATGAGCTGTACACAAAACATACATAAAGGAAAAAAAAAAAGAATTAAGCATTTAATTATAACACAAACTGAAAGCAGAACCGAGGAATAGCTTTTTTTGGAACAAAAATAACCTATATCAAAACTTCCATTCTAACCGGATTTCCTACTCTAGGCTGTGGGGAATTTGTTTAAATTTCTGTAACTATAATTTTTTTTTATCTGACTAACGATGAGGTGCTGATTATCTTGTTTACCTCAGAATTACTACAAAAACCATACCTATAAAACTATTTTAGACTTAAAAACTACATATATAAGTACCTGTACACATATAGATTGAATATGAAAGTATTTTAGGCTTCAAAAGAACTACTCTGATGCTCATTTTCATTTGGCACCAAGCACAGTAACAAGACAGATCTTCATGTTTCACTTATTAGTGCTGCTGACTTTTTTTTAAAGTAAGCTCTTTGCCCAACATGGGGCTCGAAATCATGACCCTCAGATCAAAAGTTGCATGCTCCACCAACTGAGCCAAAGAAGTGCCCCAGTCCTGATTTTTATAATGTGTCTTTGAGGTAGATTAACTAGGAAACAGATAAAAGAATTTTATCCAGAAACTGGTGATAAGAACTAAAGCTCCTGGACCTGAATCCCAAGTTGTCTGGGATTCAGACAACCAAAACAGCCAACTGCTATTGTCTACTCAAATATCAAGCATTGTGCTAAGTTCAGGACATGCAATGTCCAACAAGAGAAACCAGGTCTCCTGTCCTCATGGAGTTTAAACCACAGCGAGGGAAACAGACACTGAGCAAGTAGACAGTTACAGCTTATCTGAAGAAGGACAAAGAAAATGGCAATTGATGAATAAATAGAAGCCAGCCACAAGAAGGAGTGGAGAATATTCTAGGTAAAGCTCCTGAGATGGGAAAAAGTATGGTATGTTATAAGAACTAAGAAAAAGCCAGTGTGGTTGAGACTTAGCAAAGAAAGGGAAGTGTTAAGAAAGAGGAGATTGAAGAGGTGGGCAAGTACCAGATCATGATGGGCCCTGGAGGCCAAAAGGCATTTGAAATTTGTTGTGAATGCAATAGAACGTCACTGAAGACTTTTGAAAAGAATCTATTTTATTGAGGTATAATTTATTACAGGAAACACACTGACTTTAAGTATACTAGGATTAATTCTGACAAATATATACTCTAGTAGCAACTACCATCCAAACCAAAGCATGGAACTTCCATCACCCCTGGAAGTTTCCTTCTATTCCTTTGCTTCACGAGCATAAGAATGTTCTCTGATGTTTCTCCTCTCCCCCTATGGTGGGATGATTTCTTACCACCACAGCTCAGTTTTATGTTTGCATGAATGGAATTATATAGTACGTATTCTTGTCCATCTTTTGGACTTTCCTAACTCAAACAGGTTTTGGCAATTCATTGTTGAGTCTAGGACCCTCCTTTTTGTTGACGACTAGTATTCCATTATATGAATTTACCATAATTCATAGTTGTCTGTTGATGGACATCTGAGTTGTCTCCAGTTTTGAGCTACTACAAACAGCACTGCTATCAACATTTCTGAACAAAATGTTTTGTGAATGTGTTTTCATTTTCTTTGTTTATATACCTGGGAGTGGAATTGCTGGATCATAGGGTGGGTGTATATATAACTTTATAAAAAACTGACAAACCTCAATAAAGCTGTTAAAAAAAAATCTTGCTGAACTCTTTTTCAAAGTACAATTTTCTATTCCCACCAGCAAAGTGAGAATTCCAGTTCTTCACCTCTGCTAATCCTGGTTATTACCAGACTTTTAAACCATTTCAGTGGGTATGAAGTGGTATCTTAGACCCACATGTTCAATAATGTTGAGCACATTTACATGTGCTTACTGGCCATCCAAATATCCATTGATTGTAGGTTTTTAAAAGTGAGAAGATAATGCAATCCAGTTTACATTTAAAATAAGTGAGTCTTTGTCAATTCTGAATTCTTTATGATACAGAGATGCTAGGGGCTTCCTGTGGGGCATTCTGTAGTGATCCAAAGATTCTGCTTCTTCTCAATTCAAGTGATCCTTGGCAGTCACTTTGTGTTTCGTAAAACAAATTAACTTTCTTTTCTTTAAAATACAATTTATTGTCAAATTGGTTTTCATACAACACCCAGTGCTGATCCCAACAAGTGCTCAATATCCATCACCCGCTTTCCCCTCTCCCCAACCCCCATCAACCCTCAGTTTGTTCTCAGTATTCAAGAGCCTCTTATGGTTTGCCTCCCTCTGCCTCTGTAACTTTTTTTCACCCCTTCCCCTTCCCCATGGTCTTCAGTTAAGTTTCTCAAGACTCAACTTTCAATCTGTGAAAGAAAGATCTTTTAAGGTTGTGAACCCCAGAGGTCAGAGCTTGAAAAGCTTCTTTTCTTCCTTTTTAAAAAAATGTTTATTTCTGAGAGAGTGAATGCAAGCAGGGGTGGGACAGAGGCTCTGCGCTGACAGCAGAGAGCCTGAAGCAGGGCTTGAACTCACATGAACCATGAGATCATGACCTGAGCCAAAGTAGGATGCCTAACCGATTGAGCCACCCCGGTGCCGGTAGGCTGTGTTTTTTAGTACCTGATGGAAGCACAAAGAGAACATAATCAAGACAGACTACCACAGCAGAAGGTGTCCTCCTCATTTATAACCTCTGTACTAGACTAAAAATTCTTTTTTACTCACAACAGAAAATGAGACATTTAGCAAGAATTTTAACTAACTTTCAATTCAGATTATCTGCTTAAGAGTTTCACTTATTTTTCCTTTGAACACTAACCTGTGTTATAGACTACTGTTTATTATGAAAAGAATTTCTTTGCCTTTTTTAAGAGAGAGAGTGAGAGCATGAGTGGGGGAGGGGGCAGAGGGAAAAAGAATCTTAAGCAGGCTCCATGCTTAACATAGAGCCCAATGCAGGGCTCAATCTCATGACCTGGGATCATGACCTGAGATGAATTCAGCAATCAGAAACTCAACCAACTAAGCCAACCAGGCACCCCTTAAAATTCTTTTTATTAGGGGTGACTGGGTGGCTCAGTCAGTTAAGCGTCCGACTTCAGCTCAGGTCTTGATCTTGTGATCTGTGAGTTCAAGCCCCACGTCAGCCTCTGTGCTGACAGCTCAGAGCCTAGAGTCTGCTTCAGATTCTGTGTCTCCCCCTCTCTCTCTGCCTGCCCCCGCTCATTCTTTGTCTCTCTCAAAACTATATAAACATTAAAAAAAGAAGAATTAAAAAAAAGACACTGATAATGTAGCTACATTATTTTGTCTGGGAAGGTAAAGCATTCAAACAAAATTAATCTGAATTTTCTGCAAAACTTTCTCCTTCTGCTCTATTACAATGATTAATTTATTATTTAACAAAGAACCTTTTCAAAACTTTTACAAACATTATGCAGAAATTATAAAGAAATTCAAAATATTCAATCAATTAATTTAATTTCTTAGTTTTGATGAATACTTTATGGTCATATGTTAACATAAGGGGAAACCAAATGAAAGGTACAGGGAATCCTCTGAACTTTTTTTTTTAACACTTTTATTGGTCTGCAATTATCTCAAAAGAAAACTATCTAAAAGAAATTATTACAAGAAATATGAAATTTTAGGGGCGCCTGAGTGGCTCAGTCAGTTAAGCGTCCAGCTGTGGTTCAGGTCATGATCTTGCGGTTCATGGGTTCGAGGCTCATGTTGGGCTCTGGGGCGACAGCTCAGAGCCTGGAGCCTCCTTCAGAATCTGTCTCCTCTTTGCCTCTCCCCAGCTTGCCCTCTGTCTCTCTCTCTCTCTCTCTCAAAAAATAACCATTAAAAAAAAAAAAGAAATATGAAATTTTAATTGTTAATACATACCTCATCAAGCCTCTGTTAACTAGCTTGGTGACTTAATTTACTGAACTCTGTATAATTGAGAAGCCATAATTAGAAAGAAAATGGCCTTACTGTTTGATTTTTTAGTGGTAGTTGACAATTCCTCTTCTTCAGCTGCTGCCTGGGGGAAGCTATCTGCCAAACAGGATTCATATTCTTCATGTGTTGTCCGATCAAACATATCTTCTAAGCTATCATTCATTTTTCTTTCTCCATCTATGTAAAAGAGCATTGGCTTAGGGCAACAGGCAAGTTTTTTGCTTTCTATATAGACCAATATCAAACTTGTAGTAACTGCCTCAAGATAAACTGGTCTCAAATGTACATGAGGCAATAATAAACCCCCGAGACTAGGTAGTTACTGTATTTACAAAGACTTTATGTTAGCGCTTTAAATGTCCTTTACTCATGTGCAGAGAATGCTACTTTTTGTTGTTGTCATCACAAACATTAAAAGTCTTTTCCTCCTTTTTGGCCCATGTATAATTCATACTACACTGAAATGAGCCCTATCAAAAAACTGTGAGGAATAGAAATGCATCATAATGATAAAAAATACCAAGTTTAATAAATAAGATGTGTATAAATAGTGGACATTCAAATCTATAGAATCTTGCTCATCTGCTTAATTTTCTTACATTACCATTAACGCTTGATAGTTTAGTATTAATATAAGGAACGAATCCAATTCCTGTCTGAATGTCCTCAGTTTCTAACAGATCATCACTGGAGAATATCCTTGCTTTTGGCCCTGCATCCGCAGTGGCAGGTCCTAACCCCTCGATACATAAAGGTGTAAGTGACACTATTCCTGGTCTAGTTGATCTCATGCTATATGCATCTGTAGTTAGGAGTGTTGCTAAGGTCCTTCCATGGTTCCTGCCCCTTTTGGAAAATCAAGGCTTTAGATGAAGACTTAACAGTCCTCACAAAAGGCTGTCAACCCCTAATTTGGCCAAATCTCCTTTTCTGTAGAAGCAGAAAATGGCAGAGCAACTCAGCATATACACCATTATTCTTATTTAATTGCTAATTGGCAAATCTATACTAACATTTCTCAGTAGACTCTCCCCTTTTTACCCTAAAAATTGCTCTGGAAATTCATATTTCTAAAACAGGACTCTCAAGATTCCCTTTTATAAAAAAGTATCTAGGGATAATTACCAGGGATCCACAGACTTTTTCTTAAAGGGTCAGACAGGAAATATTTTAGGCCTGAGGGCCCAATAAGGTCTGCAACTACTACCCAACTCTGCTTTGGTACAATGCAAGCAGCCATAGGCAGCCATAGGCAATACATAAACAAGTAAGTGAGGCTGTGTTCCAATAAAACTTTATGTATAAAACAGGCAGCTGGCTATGGTTTGCTTCACCTTGGAAACAATTTGAATTCTTTCTGGGGAAAAAAAAAGATCCTGGCTAAAGATTTTTTCCCTTGAAATATTGAAAGTGAGCTTCACTAAAAAACATCTAATATTATCAAAACAGGAAAAAAACCTTGTTTATGGTGAGAGGTCACTTGTGGTCATCAATGCAATGGTATGACAATAAACTTCCCTCCACATTTTCATTAAATTAGTAAAAAAATCAAATCTTACCTGGACTTTTCTCTCCCTTTTGTTCTTGCTTCTTCATTTTTAAAAGCACAGTTTCACTAACCAATGTGCAGTCCATGTCCACTGTCTCTCCTCCTGCTAATCGTGACTGACTGCCATCCTAAATATTTAAAAATTCAAAAATTTTAACAATTATCCTGTATGGCCTTATATTTATGCTTTTAAAATTTACCATTTTAACCATATTTTAAGTGTATACTACAGTGGCATTAAGCTCTATTTATTTTTACCTTTTAGGAATATACATAAATGGCTATAAAACATTTTAGCTTTTAGCTTCAATATACAAGCATCTTCTCTCAAGCCTATGAAAAGGAAGCCTGCTGCCAAGGGAAGGGAGAGGTACAGTCCACTGAATTCCCTGAGTCTCCCTCCAGTCTGCCACATAGTTGAACATCAGCGTGTACAAAGAACAATTTCATACTGCAGCAACAGTGAAATACTTCAGGAATAATGCTACCAAGTGAAAAAGAATTTCTTAAACTATACAGAACCTAAATACAAGCCAAATGAGTTATTTCCATTAGGAATTTTAATTTTTGAAAAAATATACAATATTTTAAAAAGCCAACTGGGAAATTACTTTTTTTTCTTGATGGTACATTTCAAAAATTAATCAAGGCATATGATGAATTATTTTGATAAAAATAATTAAAATATGTAACTAGCATTTTTTCATTATTTTAAAACTAAAACATTTTTCAGCAAAGGCCTTTAAAATCAGAAGGTACTGGGGCGCCTGGGTGGCTCAGTAGGGTAAGCGTCTGACTTCGGCTCAGGTCATGATCTCATGGTTCATGAGTTCAAGCCCCACTTTGGGCTCTGTGCTGACAGCTCAGAGCCTGGAACCTGATTCACATTCTGTGTCTCCCTCTCTCTCTGACCCTTCCCTGCTCACACACTCGCTCTCTCTCTCTCATAGAAATAATTTTTAAAAAAATTTAAATCAGAAGGTATTAATGCCCTTTCAAGAGTAATAAATTTAGAAGAAAAAGCATTTTTATTTCTTAGTTTTCTGAATAAGGAAAGGCAGGTTTTAAGAGGGATGTAATCAATTATCTTAAGTCATAGAGTGAGTTGGGAGAGGAGGGTAACTAACAACTTACTAGAATAACAACATGGGCCTTGGTTTTACTTAATCACTTACCTTTGTATCTATTACAGTAATATCCATTTTATATTGAGAAAGGTCTGCTCCTGGATCTATGCTCCACTGGTTATTTTCAAAGGATACATCTTCAATAAGGAGAAAAAAATGCAATTAAAAATGCATTTTAAAAATTCTTAAAACATTTATGGGATCCACTAATAGGAGAAAGGATTTGAAAATCGTATACCTGCTAAAGAGACTCTCTAGGACATACAGAATATAAAGAACTCTCATAACTCAAAAATAAGAAAAATACTCCAAATGCAAATGGGCAAAGAATCTGAATAGACAGTCCTTCAAATAAGATATACAAATGGCAAAAAGCACATGAGAAGATTTTCAACAGCATTAGACAGCAGGGAAAGGCAAATCATAACCACTATGAGATACCACTTCACATCCAACAGGATGGCGATGGCTAGAATCAAAAAGACAGGTAATAACAAGTATTGGTGAGAACCTCATGTACTGTGTAGACACTCTGGAAAGCTGACAGTTCCTCAAAAGTTTACATATAGTTAGCATATTGCCCAATAATTCTACTTCTATGTAACTCAAGAAAAATGAAAATATACATCTACATAAAACTATGTCAATGTTCATAGTAGCATTATTTGCAATGAAAAAAAGTGAAAGTAAAATAAGTCACAAAAGATCATAAATAGTATGATTCTATTTATATGAAAACTCCAGAGTAGGCAAAGCTAGAGACAGAGGGTAGAGTAGTGGTTGCCTAGGATTGGGGAAGAGGGGAGGAATATTAATGATTGGTAATGGGTATTGTTTTTTATTTAGAAAAAAAATGTTAACTCAAGTATAATTAACATACACTGTTATCTTAGTTTCAAGTATGCAATAGGATTAATAATTCTATACACTTCTCAGTGCTCCTAAGATAAGCGTACTCTTAATCTTATTTATCTATTTCATTCATTCCCCACCCCCTTTCTCCCCTCTGGCAACCGCCAATTTGATTTGTATTTAAGAGTCTTTTGGTTTTGCTTCTTTTGTTTGTTTTACTTCTTAAATGCCACATATAAGAGAAATCATATGGTATTTGTCTTTCTCTGACTTATTTCACTTAGCATTATACCCTCTAAGTCCATCCATGTTGTTGCAAATGGCAAAATCTGTTCTTTTTTTATGGCTGAATAATATTCCGCTGTACATACATAACCACATCTTTTTTTATCCATTCATTATCTTTGGACACTTGGGTTGATTTCATATTGGCTATGGTAAATAATATAATAAACATAGGGGTGTATATATCTTTTAGAACTAGTATTTTTTTTTTCTTGTGAGTAAATAGATACCCAGTAGTGGGAATACTGGATCATATGGTAATTCTATTTTTAATTTTTTGAGGAACTTCCATACCATTTTTCAAAGTAGCTGCACCAATTTGCATTCCTACCAATAGTGCAGGAGGATTCCTTTTGCTCCATATCTTTGCCAATACTTGTTATTTCTTATGGTTTTTATTTGAGCCATTCTAACAGGTATAAAGTGATACCTTTTTGTGGTTTTAATTTGCATTTCCCTGATGGTTAGTGATATTGAACATCTTTTCAGGTGTCTGTTGGTGATCCTTTGAAAAAAGGTCTATTCAGGTCCTTTGGCCCCAATCTTTTATTTGAGAGAGAATGAGAATCTCAAACAGTCTCCATGTTCAGTGCAGAGCCCAACACAAGGCTCAATTCCCCAACCCTGGGATCATGACCTGAGCTGAAATCAAGAGTTGGATGCTCAACCGACTGAGACACCCAGGTGCCCCTCTCTGTCCATTTTTAAACTGAATTATTTGGGGGTTTTTTTGGTGTTGAGTTGTGTAAGTTCTTCACATATTTTGGATATTAACTTAATGGGTAGTGTTCTTTTGAGGTGATGAAAATGTTCTAAACTTACACTACAATGACAGCTGCACAACTCTGTGAATAAGCACAACTAAATTGTACACTTTAACGAGTGGTTTTTATATAAAAATTGTTCTAAAAGTTAAAACTGTAACACTGTTTGTGGCGTTTTCAATGTACGTGGACATACATGGCAAGTACAGAAAGCACAGCCACAGAACATTAAGTGGCACAATATTAACTTCAAGTAGACTGTGAAAGATTACATAGGTATACTATAATCTCTAGAGCAACCATGAAAAAAACCCCAAACCAAAAATGTAAAAAAAAATCAGAAGTGAGAGTGAAAAAATGGTTTTCATACAGACTGAAAATCTTTGGGAAAAAAAAAGAGTTTTAGTTGGTAGAAGAACTAAAGAATGTGCTTCAGGAAAAAAGGAAAATAAACCCAGAATGAAGGAAAACACTTTGCAACAAATAATAAAAGAAAAAATACTGCATATGAAGTACAGAAAAATTTGGTAGCCAAAAAACAAAAAGACTCCTTTTAAACACATCAAAATTATGAAAAGATTAACATGCATGATAATTAAGAGCAAAAAAGATTTTCAAACAAGAAGCTTAAAAAACCCCACATTAATGGATATATTCATATGGACAGGCTACCTGTAGAGTGAAGAACAAAGTTTGAATGATGAAAATTCTACATTATGTATTTTGAAATTCCATATAGTTTAACATTCTTAAAGCTTTTGTAAGGAAAATAAGAAATTACATAGGAGAGGTAAATGCACGAAATTACATATAAAAGTAGGTGCTAAAGACAACTGCTCAATTCATGTTTTCAAAAAGCATGGGAGCAGGAAAACCACATGTAAAATGAAACCAATGAGAATCATCCCATAAACACAAATATGCAGGAAGAAATAACATTCCCCCCCAAACAATTCAATATATCCAAAGAATGTATATAGTATAAACTCAAAGTCATTAAAAAAGAATATAAATACTTTTTAAAAATACTATATATAGTATATATACCTTGATTATTTTGTACAGGCTTTGTTTTAGCAACTCTACATGGATTTAACTGGAGAACGGATGTAAGTTCACATGCTCCATGGATTGACCTGGCTATTCTTACTGGCTCATGAGAATCAGCTCCCTAAAACAGAGAGAATTATTAGCATCTAGATGAAATCACAAGCAACCATTTTAATAAAAATACCTGAAAATTTGACACAAACCTTCACATCATCGAAAAGATTCTCTGTCTCTAGGCTTTCCCGTGGACGTAGAGGGATTTTAAAGATGGGCTTTTCTTCCTTGATTTGTACTGGTGTTTTATTATCTGGAGATGATTTACCCGAGGACTGGAAGACACACTCCTGTAAACAGGGCTCCCCTGGGGAATCTTTGGTTAATATACAGCTCCCGCTCAAGGTCTTTTGGCTTGAGGAACAGCCCTTTGGAATGGGCTTCAAGGCCTCACAGAGAGTCACTTGCCTAAGTCTGACTTTAGAGGTCTCACTTCCTTGGCTTTTCTCTTGACGCTGAAGAGCTGAAAATCGATCAGACAGATCGAGAGGTTTATCCATCACATAGTCTCCATTCACGGAAGAATGACTATCCAGTAAAAAAGGAAAGGCATTTTCTTTATCAAAAGAGGCCTGGGGGCAGTTTCTTTCATCCTCACTTTCTTCCTCAATTTTCTTCCTTTTGGATGTTCTGCCTCCCAATGATTTCAGTGGTACCACATGTTTATCTGTGACAGCATCTTTAATGTGATCAAAACTATTCTGTTCACTTTTGGAATCACTTATATTTTTATTTAGAAGCATCTGTTTATTTGAAGATGACAGGCTAATGATCTTGTTCACTTCAGATCCAAGATTATGCTGTGTGTAAAAGGCACTATTTTCTTCAGATTTTGATCTAGTTTTCTCTGGTCTGGAATTAGAAGTGTTGTTGAAGGGTGCTGTTTTCAGAAGGTTTTTTTTCCCAGTCTCTAAGAGAGAAGGGGACAAACTTGTATTCAAACCTAAACTACGTTTCACGTTAGAGGTAGCTCCAAATACAGGAGATGATACCCGAGTAGTCAATTCTTCTTGAGGAGTCTTTGAATTAGAATCTGAAAATCTGAAACAATAGAGTGGTAAAACTTTCTTCCTACTAAAGAAACAGGGTAAAAGTTAAAAGACAAGCACATGAGAAAATTTACACTGATATAGAATATTAATAGTAAGATCTTAGCCATGTATTAGACTCGGATGTAATTAACCAACATTTGAAATAGGGTAGAGTTGTCAGCTTCTCTCCATGTGGCTGACAAAAAGCAGAGGAAAATAATACAGTAAATCTATCTCAATACCTTGATATTCTTCTCCACAAATATTTTTCCCAAGTAATTTAAGAAATTTCACTATATAAAAAAATCATATTTTAATAAATTCCACTGGGGACCTAAATTCTTTTGTTGTCATGAAATTTTATAAGTAACTTCAAAAAATAAAAACCGTATACTACAGAATTGAACATAACTTAAGACCCAGCCTGTCTCTAGCAGAAGAGACAGCTATGGTAGTAGAAAGAGTATTAGGTAAGTTTGAAGATATGGAACGGGTAAGAGCTCTGGCTCTAGTTATTAATAGCTATGTGGCATTAAATAAGATATTTAACCTCTGTGGAGCTGCGTTTTTGTTGACTAAAAATGGGAGTAATCAAAAACTTACTTTAATGAATTACTTTGATGACAAGTTAAATGTGATACATGTATCTAAAACTGAAAGCACTTTTTGTAAAGTTGCCTTTCTTTCTTCTTTGTTTCTTTCTTTCTTTCTTTTCTCTCTCTCTCTCTCTGTTTCTTTTTAAAGTTTATTTATTTAGGGGCACCTGGGTGGCTTCGTCAGTTAAGCATCCAACTGCTGATTTCAGCTCAGGTCATAAATTGTGGTTTGGGGGTTTCAAGCCCTGCATCAGGCTTGGCACTGATAGTGCAGAGCCTGCTTAGGATTCTTTCTCGCTCCCTCTCTATCTGCTTGCTCTGTCTTTCTCGCTCTCTCAAAAATAAATAAATGAGAGAGAGAGAGAATGAGAAGAAGCGGCAGAGAAAGAGAGAGAGAGAGAGAGAGAGTCGGGGAGAGACAGGATCTCAAGCAGGCTCTGCACTGTCAGCACAGAGCCAGATGCAGGGCTCAAACTCACAAACTGCCAGATCACAACCTGAGCCAAAATCAAGAGTCCAATGCTCAATCAAGCCACGTAGCTTCTGACCAAAGCATGTTTAAAAAGCAAAATACTAAACATATATAGGTAAGATTATTTAGTGGATGTTCTGAAATTAGCCCATACGAGATGCAACACAATCTTGAAAATTCATTTAAGTTTATAAATCCATTTTATATAACATCCAGTTTTTGGAAATACAAACACAGAAGGGATGACTGGATCTTTATAGAGGCAGAGTAACAGGCTGGACTCTGAAATACTGCTTGATAGAAGTATAAAAAGAACCCCCAACATAATGTTCTTCTCTCTACAGTAAAGCAAAAAGCCCTCAATTGACCATGAACTGGGGAAAACATTTTTTAAAATAAAAATTAATACAATCAGAATGACAAACTATATGCTAACAATGAAAAATCATTATATTATATGGAACTCAACTGTAATGAGGTCTCACCAATAGTCTGTAAGTTTTTACCAAAGGGCCCCAAATTACCTTAAAGTATCTTCATTGTTTCTTACAGATTCCTCAAAAGGTTGTTTCTTGTGATCTTCTAGACAGTGATAGAGTTCATCACCAAGAGGGCTTGTGGGACCCTGAGATTCCTTCAATAGTAAAATATAAATTACATGAAATACAGTAAAAGATTATTCATTCTTAATAAGGAATGAAATGTTGATATATTCTGTGATGTGGATGAACTTCAAAAATAGGATAAGTGAAAGAAGCCAGACTCAAAAGCCACATAATGCACAATTATCCCGAATAGGTAAATCCATAAGGACAAAAAGCAGCCTGGTGGTTGTCAGCAGCTGTGCGTAGTCAGGAATGAGGACTGAATGTTTAACAGGTAAAGGGTTTATTTTGGGGGGGATGAGAAGTCTTTGCAACCAGAGATGTGGTAGCAGGATAATATTGTGAAGTACTAAATGACTGAATTGTTATGTGCACTTCACCACAATAAAAAATTATGAAGCACTTTTAAGTTTAGAGAGAAAAGCATCAATATTCTACATAAGTATGTTCTATTACTGGTATGTAAAACTCTATAAACTCCAACTCCAAAAAACATTAAGATGAGGGGAAAGGAATAAAGATAATTATTTATACTGACAGAAGATGAATTTAAAAGAGTCCTTTAGAGAGTGGTCCTTCTCAAACTTTAACATGCATTCAGGTCAATTTGGGATCTTGTTAAAACACAAGTTCTCTTGCAGTTAGGTCTTGGATGGGGGTCTGATACTCTCTATCTCTAATAAAACTGTAAGGTGATACAGATGCTGTTGGCCTGTGGGTCACACCTTGAGAAACATGTCTTTAGAGATCAGCTCCCTTAATATATTTGGTGTTTAAACTACTTACTTGTTAGACTTATGAGTAGGAAGGAATTAGAAACCGTTAAAACACATTTGAAGTTCAAAGGTTAAAAATTACCCATTACCACTTGAAGAGGGATTTAAAACTAGAAAGAAAAAAATTCTAAAATAATGAAAAATCAATTCAATTTTTATTTTATTTTGTTTTTTAATGTTTGTTTATTTTTGAGAGAGAGACAGAGTGCGAGTGGGGGAGGGGTAGAGAGAGGGGAAGACATAGAATCCAAAGCAGGTTCCAGGCTCTGAGCTGTCAGCACAGAGACCAATGTGGGGCTCAAACTCATGAACTGCAAGATCATGACCTGAGCTGAAGTCAGACACTCCACTGACTGAGCCACCCAGGTGCTCCTCAATTCAACTTTTAAAAATTTAACAGCAAGACAATTTTATAGAAGTACATATGCATTTACTGACTAAAGCAAAGGAATACTATTTTTAAAGTGGTATCAAAATAAAACTTAAATAAATAAAACTTAAAATTGAAGAATTTAAGTTTTCTATTTTTAGGAAACAATTAAGAAACATAGTGAATGTGTCTGATGTAAAGAAGTACTAAAACAATGAAAATAAATTCATGAGATCAATTTCGGATCCAATCCCTAAGAATCAAATGGCACATATAAGGACAAGAACCAAAGCATCTATAGCAGTCACAAGAATTCAGACTGTTTTCCAAATCAAACGCTAGTTTAAAGGACATTGAAAAATTCCAATAAATTCTGAAATCAACCTTAAGGTTTAAGGTACTCCGATAGGAGTATGGAGGATAGAGGAAGCAGGGAAGGATTGCCCAAACCCTCTACACCAACATCATTTCTCTAAATTGTGACTCAACCCACAAACTTTATGCCAAGAATTCTAAAGGCTTCAGATATCTGGGACTGCCCGGTAGATAATATGAACAGGTCTTTCTAATCAAATCAATTTTGTTCTAGGCCTTTATCCGATGACCCTGGGATACGATAATTTTTCTTTTGCTTAATACTCTAAAAACTGACTTAAAAGAATACCAATTAGTTCATATTATCACCAAACGAAACAATTACTTACAGATTCTTCTTGAACACTAAGTCCAAGTGTTTCAGCAACAACTGTAGCCAAATTAAAAGATGCCTTATCAGTAGGACAACGGTTTGTTCCATGTGTTTCTAAGTAAGAAAAAAATACCCAATTATACAACTGTAGAAATGAGATATATTGAAAACTACAAAAAAAGGAAAATAAGAGGCTCAAAGAACCACTTTACACGATAGCACTGAATACTTTTAAAATTTTGTGCAAAACATCTGTGCAAAGAAGTCCAAAATATCTATTACAAAGGGCAATAAATTGCAGATATCTAGCATCTATATCTGCCAAGCTTTTTTAGCTTAGATTTTCTATTTTTCCTAAATGGACTGAATGCAATGGGCAGATTATTTTTCTTATTGCCATTGGAAAATAAAACCCCCAAGTCCTATATAACTATGCTGGATTTCTCGTGCCCTAAGTTACAGCATGAATTTAAAACCATATTTATAGTGCCTTTTATGACAACATACTTTGTAGAAGAGATTTTCAACTCTGCATTATTTTCAAGATTTAAGCTAAATACAGAAATCACCGATGTTCAAGTATTTTACAAAGTTTTATATATACAGAGTTTCAATAAGTCAACAAGTATTTATGGAGCATATACTATGTCCTAGGCATTGTGTTAGGCACTAGATGAGAAGAAAAAAGGTTCTTGTCCTCAAGGAGATTAAGGGCTTATACAGGTGAAACAGAAAGGTAAAAAGAGAATTGCAATAAAATGTGATAAACATTAAAGGTACATATAAGTGATTATTTAAACATAGAGAAAGGATTCCTAAATCTGCCTTGGGAATATCACGGAAAGATACACCAAGTGATGCCTAACCTGAACCTTGAGAAAAAGAGGAATTTGATAGGTCAGATGGACCGGGGACAGAAAGACATGTAAGGGTTCAGATATGTCAAATAAAATTGCATGTTTAGGGTACTGTAGGTGTTTTAATTGCCAGGAATCAAAGTGCAAAAAATGTTAACAGTAGTAGGATAGGAGTCCAGAAGGTCAGTGAGGGATTTCTCTCTCTCTCTCCCACAGGGGTGTGGAGAGGTGAAGATTGGAATCTATTCCTTACTGGGTTCAACTAAAGGGAATGGGAGATAATGGAGAAGTGCTACTGAACACAGACAACTTTTTCAGCTTTGAAGAGAAGCTGTAGCTAAGAAAGGAGACAATTAAAAGAGGGGTTATTTTTATTTATATTTACTCATTTATTTAAAAAAATTTTTTTAATTTATTTATTTATTTGGAAGAGAAAGAGATAGTGTGAGTGGGAGAGGGGCAGTGGTAGAGGGAGACAGAGAATCCCAAGCAGGATCTGCACAGTCAGCATGGAGCCCAAAGCGAGGCTCAAACTCACAAAACCATGAGATCATGACCTGAGCCAAAACCAAGAGTTGGACAATTAACTGACTGAGCCACCCAGCTGCTCTAAGAGATGGAAGATAACATATGCATATTTTGAAAAGAATGAACCTGCGCAGAAGCTGGAGATATAATAGGGTAACTGAGGGAGCAAAGTCCTGGCAGCAGCAGCAGAGAATGTGCTCCAGAGTGCAGGCAAGCAAGGATCTATCACACTCAGTCGTATGTTCCCAGCACCCTTTGCCATAGTCTGTCCTACTCTCTCTCTTTCTCTCTCTCTCTCTCTCTCTCACACACACACACACTAATACGAAATGATTTCTTAGCTTTTAGAGAATAAGTTTTATACTCATTAAATGAGTAAGTGATTAATCTTGACCAACACTTTAAATTGGGTTCTGGATCCCATCTCCTCTCACCTTTTCACAGATGTAGTAACAATTTCCTTTCCTTAGAATGACTCATTTCTTTCTCTTTCCATCAGCATAAAAATATGCTGCATATGCTGTAATATCCTATCTTCTAACATCCTCACTTGACCCATTTTCTCTCTAGCTACTGTCCCATTTTCCCCTCCCCTTTACCACAAAACATCTTGAAGGACTTGTTTACAAGTGCTCTCTCTGCTAGCTTCTCTTGAAAATGCAAGAGACTAGCTGAATACCATTACACTTTAACAGTTCACATTATGGGTTTTAACACTCAAAGATCTGCATGTGACCAGATCCAATGGTGAATTTTCAGTATTCATCTTGCCTGACCTATTAGCACGGTCTGCCATAGTTGACCACTCTTTCCTCTTTCCACTTGGCTTAAAGGACACTACTTTATCTCAGTTCTTCTATCTCCCTGGCAGCTCCTTCTCTGGCTACTTACTTTATTGGTTCCTCCTCATTTTCACAACCTCTAAATCACCATCTAGACAGCTGCAATATTGCCTCTAAAGAGGTGAAAAATGGTTCTTTGAAGGCAAAAGAATCTTTTTATACATTAAGCACTTACATACAGGGGCGCCTGGGTGGCTCAGTCAGTTAAGTGTCCAACTTCAGCTCAGGTCATGATCTCATGGTTCGTTGGTTCGAGCCCTGCGTCGGGCTCTGTGCTGACAGCTGGCTCAAAGCCTGGAGCCTGTTTTGGATTTTGCGTTTCCCTCTCTCTGACCCTCCCTTGCTCATGCTGTCTCTCTCTCTCTCTCTCTCTCAGAAATAAATTTAAAAAAACATTAAAAATTTTTTTTTAAAAAAAGCACTTCCATACATACACTCATACAGTGTATCTGCAGTATTGAAATTTGATGGAAAAATGATTAGGGGGAAAAAACATCTAAAAAGTTTAGTGTAGGGGTGAGAAAAATAGCTGAGAATCACTACTTTATTTTAATTTTTAAAAAATGCTGTCAAATGTTATTTGAGAGAGAGAGAGACAGAGTGCGAGCGAGTGTTGAACAGGGACAGAGAGAGAGAGAGAGAAAGATCGAGAATCCCAAGCAAGTTCCATAACATCAGGCAGAGCTCAATGCAAGGGTTGATCTCATCAACTATAAGATCATGACCTAGTTGAAATCAAGAGTCAAATGCCTGGGGAGCCTGGGTGGCTCAGTCGGTTAAGTGTCCGACTTCAGCTCAGGTCATGATCCTGCAGTTCGTGAGTTCAAGCCCCACAGTAGGCTCTGTGCTGACAGCTCGGAGCCTGGAGCCTTCTTTGGATTCTGTATCTCCCTCTCTCTCTGCCCCTCCCCTGTTTGCACTGTGTCTGTCTGTCTCTCCCTCAAAATAAACATTAAAAAAAAAAAACCACCAGAGTCAGACGCCTCACCTACTGAGCCATCCAGGCACCTCTTATTTTATTATTTACTAAGTAGGCTCTACACCCAGTGTGGAGTCTAACATAGGGTTCAAACTCATGACCCTGAGATCAAGACCTGAGCTGAGGTCCAATAATTGGAAACTTAACTGAATAAGCCACCGAGGTACCCCTAAGATCCACTACTTCATAATGAAGCACCCCAGAGCTTAGTACTTGAACCTCTCTTCCCTATATATTCACTTGCTTGGTAATCTCAACCACTTTAATGGCTTTGGATACTACCTACATGCTAACAAGTTCCATTCATATCTCTGTCTTAGACCTTTCTAAACTCAGATCCAACTACTCATCCAAAGTCTTACCTGAATGCCTCTCCAGTATCTCAGAATATGATCAAAACCAAACTTCTGATTTCTAACCACCCCATCCCCATCCTTGAACCTGATGCTCCAAATCTCTTTTCTCTTAGTAAACAGCAGCTCTTAAGAACAGAGTTGAACAAACCAATCTCCCCTTCACTCACACTGCTCTGCCCTAGTCATGAAGGCGTCCTTAATGTTCTTCATAAAGAACCAAATAGCACCCTCATCCCACGGTCTTTGTGCTCTGACTTCTCTACTTGGGATGCCCTTTCCCCCTATGTCCATATGATTTCTTTGCTTCCGTAAGTATCTCCTAAAGTGTTACTTTTTTTTTCTTTAAAAATTTTTTTAATGTTTTACTTATTTCTGAGAGAGAGAGACAGTGTGAGCAGGGGAGGGTCGGAGAGAGAGGGAGACACAGAATCTGAAGCAGGTTGTAGGCTCTGAACTAGATGTCAGCACAGAGCCCTACACGGGGCTCAAACCCACGAACCATGAGATCATGACCTGAGCTGAAGTTGGACACTTAACTGACTGAGCCACCCAGGCGCCCCGCAAGTGTTACTTTTTAAAGTGAGGCTTTCTAATCTCTGTTCTTACCCAGCTTCAGAACACTTTCTCCTACCTAATATGTATTCATTTTCTTTCTCCCTCAACTGCATTGTAAGCTCTATGAAGTTAAGGGCTTTGTTTTGATCAGTACCTGGTATACAGTAGGCACTCAAGTATTTGTTGAATGAATGAATGATCCACATTAAAGCCTGTTTACTTAAAACTATTAGCAATCTGTATTAACATGGATAGGGATATTAGTATGAATAATAGGATAACATTATTTTCCAATATGAAAAAAGACTGCTACACAACCAATAATAAAAATAAAATCATATGGAATTCAGACTGCCGGCCACTCTTGACCACCAGTAACCACAAATTTTAAACTTATGAAGTAAATCTCAGTATGCTTACTAGACACTGTGGATTGACTCTGATCACAAGTGTCAGCCACTAGAATTTCACTTTCATTAGGTTTATGTTGTGGATGAATTGAAGACTTTGGAGGTTTTCTCAGTTCTAAGGGGAAAAAAAAGAGATTATATATAAATAAACAATTATGATACAAAATATCAAAATATTATTTTGATAAGCCAATACAAATCTATCTTTAAATGCATTAGAAGTATTGATAAAAGTTTCATATAATAAAAAGTGCATTCCTTTAGTTTCACTAAAAAATAAAGCTGGAAGTTAGGACAGTGGGACAGAAACGACTAGAAGAGATAAGCTTCTTTCAACCTAAGTTTCCTAGAGTTGTAATGTTTTAATGCATCTTTTCCTTGTGCATTTGTTGCAAATCAGTATGTTCATTTGAATACTGCATGATATATCTCTACAATCTTTGTTCTTAGAGTTTTTATTTTTTGGAAGGAAATCCTGAAACATTCTTTATTAGAAATCATTCCAATATTTAAGGATTTAATTCAAAGAAAACCAAAAGAAGCACAAAGCAAAGTGAAATAGACTTTTATTAATTATAACTAGAAAATAGTATTATAACGCACTATAAACTTTAAAATAGCAAGGAGAGGGGCCACCTGAGTGGCTCAGTTGGTTAAACATCTGACTCTTGATTTCCACTAAGATCGTGATCTCACAGTTTGTAAGTTTGAGCCCAGTATTGGGCTATGTGGTGACAAGGCATCACCTGCTTGGGATTCTTTCTGCCTCTTGCTCTGCCCCTCACCCACTCTCTCTCTCAAAATAAACTTGAAAAAAAGAAAATAAAATGAAATAAGCAAGGGTGCTTAGAAAGAGAAGAAGGCCAACTAGTCACTAAATCAGTTTTAAAATAATTTGCATGGATCAAAAATGATCATATATATTTATATACACACACACATGCACACACATTTAAATCCTACTGACTAATATCAGTAAGAGAGAGGGAGAATGTGGAAGCCAGGGAGAGGGAGACAGAGAATCTCAAGTAGGTTCCACACTCAGTGTGAGATCACTACCGAAGCTGAAATCAAGAGTTCAATGCTCAACTGAATGAGCCACCCAGGCACCCTGATCTTATATTTTAATACCAAAATTTTAGATTCCAAGTAAAAATGATCAGAGCAGATTAAAACAAACTTTTAAAATAGGTTATAAGTTGTTCTAATATGAGGAAGAAATAAACCAGAAGCAATTATACAAGATATAGAAGAATATCCTAATAAAGAAAACTATGATTTATTTTTCTAGGTATTCTTACAGATGGATTTAAACATGATCTAAATTATGTAAAAGCTTATCTACAGTGATTCTGTCTGATAGCAGACTAATAGGACAATGAATGTTCATTTTATTCAAATGTTAATTTTGAGAGAGGGGGAGGAGGAGAGGAGAAGGGGACAGGGGGAGGGGAGGGGGGAGGGGGAGAAAGTATGAGTAGGGGAGGGGTAGAGAGAGGGAGAGAGTAAATCCCAAGCAGGCTCCACGCAGTCAGTGCAGAATCTGATGTGGGCTCAATCTCACAAACCGTGAAATCATGACCTGAGCCAAAATCTAGAGTCAGATGCTTAACTAACTCAGACACCCAGGTGCCCCTGAATGTTCATTTTAGATCTAAGACCTTACATTTTATTTTAGTTCCTAATTACATGTAAGATTTTTAACAGTTCTATTGTCTTCCACTAGATGGTGATACAAGCTCATATAAAATGGAAAAAAAATCGTGTCTATTTTCCGGTATCAAAGAAAAAGACCTGCTTATTATTTTAAAAGCACAGCTACTATAAAGTTTATTGGTATTATGAAAATATCTCTAGAAGTATGTACACCCCTTCCCTCCAAATGCTTTCTTTGTTATAAACACTTTAGGTTAAAAATGAAAGTCTCTGCCATTTACTTCAGAACAACGTTAAAAGAAATAATCATATCACATGATAAATTTCAGGGTTACATGCAAAGGTAGTTCCAAAGTATTTAGCAGAAACTGTAAATGGGCCTGGAATTAGAAATATGCCACTGGTAAGCCATAAAGTTGATCCTTTATAAGGCCATTTCTTGGTCACCATCAATTGCTACAAATTATAACAAAAATAGCCAGCTACAGCTATTGGTGGGAGTAGCTATGGGTAAGACATGGAAAGTACAAAAACTTAGAGCCAAGAGAATCTTTATATGAATTCTGACTCATCTACTAACTTGACAGGTGACCCTGAGTGAATTATTTAACCCCTCCAAAGAACATAACTTTCCCTATTATAAAATGCACTTCATCTTAGCCAAAAGGCCGAGAATCAATTCCTCATTATAAAATGAAGATGTTGACAGCTACCTTCCAAGCTTGTCATAAGAATTAAAATATAGTAATAATGCATTCAAATCACTCAGTGTATTACCTGGCACACAGTAGGTGAAAATTAACGTTCAATTCCTTTCCCCTTTCCTTCTCATCCCACTCAGATATATATACCTAGGAATATTTTTTAAATAAAAAGAAAAAAGGAAAAAAAAACCAAGTACTACATTATAAAATGCTGGACATTTACATATTCAGGTAAGCAATGAAGGCCTGTACATAATCTAAATAGAAAATGCCTTCCCAGTCACTTCATTAATGGAAGTTAAACTTACAGTTGTAACATGAGTTCCCTGACTGATGACTATCTTCCTTCCACTAGATGGAATAACAAGAAAACTCACCATAGCAGTATATTTTTTCACACAAAACCAGATAACTAAAACAAAACTCCAGTCCCTACCGTTTGTACACACAGACTGCCCCAGCTCAGTGTGTGTGTGTTCTATGTATCGGACATGGAGGTTCTCCTTTCTTCGTAGCCGATTAATGCCAGAAAAGGAAAAGGCTGTTATTGGTGAATCCGGAATAAAATTTTCCTCAGATTCAAGATCTGCTGCTTGATGCTGTTGGTCGGTCCTAGAGGAAAAAAATGGCAATTGAAAAAAAATCAGTTCAACAAATATTTACTAAAACATCTCTCTATCTAGTATGGAGCTAACAAAAGAACATAGGTATGCAGTTAGGAGAGATGCAGTTCCTTGCATTTAATGTTCCAAATCTAAGTACAAGGATTAGAAAAGTACTCAAATGATCAGAGTACCAAGTGGGGAATATTATTGTTTTTTTATTTAAAAAAAAAATTTTTTTTTTTAATGTTTTATTTATTTCTAGGAGAGAGAGAGAAAGACAGCGTGAGCAGGGGAGGGTCAGAGAGAGAGGGAGTCACAGACTGAAACAGGCTCCAGGCTCTGAGCTGGCAGTCAGCACAGAGCCCGACGCGGGGCTCGAACCCACGAACCGCGAGATCATGACCTAAGCGAAAGTCGGATGCTCAACCGACTAAGCCACCCAGGCGCCCCATATTATTGTGAGAAGTGAAGTACAAAGTCTGGTTGGTGGTACCTTGAGGTAAAATTAAAAGAATCTCAAATGGCAGAGAAAATGAGCAGAGGAAGCACATATCTGAGGAAAGGCATGCAATATGGTGTACTTGGTGTTAGAGAAGGACAAGTTGAAAGTACATGAAAAAGAGCTTTGATTTCAGAAAGTGAGAGCAAAAGTGGTGATAAAGGTTTCACAGCATGGAATGTGACAATCTAGTAGCAAGACTGCAACACTGACTGGAACAGAAAGAAAGGATGCAAGGAATCAGTTAGGCAGTGTCTATAATGGTCCAGGCAAGAGTTTCTGTGGGTTTGAAGCAGAATGTTGAAAATAGCTATGGAAAGGAAGGGACCGATATTAAACACTGTGGCAGTAGAATTAACATGACTTGGCAAATGACAAATTAAGAGTGATGAATAATACTAACACTGGTAATATGATTGTTGGAGGTTTATACTGTTGGGTGATGTTCAAAGTGCTACATGTATCAGTTTAATTACCACAATTGTAGGGCTATTACTATTACTCTCATTTTACAAATGAGAAAATGAATACACAGAAGTTCAGTCATTTACTAAAATAGTAAGTAGCAGAAGCAGGATCTAAATCCTAGCAGCCAGATTCCCAGGACAGTACTGATAAACATTCAATATGTTGTCCTAAGTACAGACTCTGAGAGTCATGACTGATTACAAGTAGGATTCAAACTTGAGTTTCTACCACTACTTCTATCCAGACTCCCGTAGAGTCTACTCTCAACATATCAGAAAAGTCTTATTAATACTTAGTCATATCATGTCACTCCTAATTAAAACCTGCCATATCTCCCCATTTCACTGGAAACATAAGCAAAGGTCCTTTAAATGATTCACAAAGTCCTACATTAACTGATTGTCCCCCTCCCCCATTACCTGTGATCTCTTTTTATACTATACTCTCACTCGAATCACCCTCACTTCCTCAAGGTTCCTCAACATACCCACTTTAAGTTCTTCACTTTAGCTCTTCTTTCAGCTTGGAATGCTTATCCCTAGACACCACTTAGTTAGTGATCTCATTTCCCTCAAGTCTTTGCTGAAGTTTTACTTTCACATCAGTGCCCACCTTAAACATGCTATTTACAACTGTACCCTCCTGGGATGCCTGGGTGCCTCATCTGGTGGAGTATCTGAGTCTTGGTTTCAGCTCAGGAGGTCATGATCTCACAGTTCTTGGGTTCAAGCCCACATTGGGCTCAGTGCAGAGCCTGTTTGGGAATCCTTTCCCTGCCCTCCCCTGCTCATGCTTTTTCTCTCTCTCTCTCAAAAAAGGGAGTCTTAAAAAAATTGTAACCTCCTTCCTATACCTTAGATACTCCTGTTGCTTGTTATTTTGCTGTTTACTTTATCCACAGTATTTATGGCTTTCAAACATAGTATATAATTGAGTTATCTATTGCTCACCTGCCAGAATGTAAGCTCTAAGAGGATAAAGAACCTTTGGTTCACTGTTAGTTACATCTAGTGAACATGAGTAGGCACTTGGTATGTGCTCAGTAAATATTTGTTGAATGAATGAATATGACAGATTCCCAGATTTCATCAACAAAAATAAATTTGTGTTGATTTAGGCATATGTTTTGGCCCAACTCAATTCAGGACCAATGGTACCTAAAGACTGTGTTTGGACTTAATTGTGGTTATTGAGTAAATGGTTAATTAATTTTTACTCAACTGAGTTTCTCATTACTGACCTTATTAACCAATTCTTACCAGGCATTTAGGCTTTATGCGACAAAATCAGTCTGTCTGTTATACTCATTATCAATTTGTAATACTATTCGCAAAGAAAAGCAATGAAAATTTTATAAGCTATGACCAACAGAGATTTTAAAAAAAGTGTAAGATTAATTATCCCTAATATAGATTTATATCTTAATTTCCTGGGTAATACCAGTTTTACTTGTGGTCTATAATTCTATATTCTATACTGAGGAAAATCTTTAGAGCTAGTATCTCATTTTTAACTCTTATTCTGGAAAAACAGAGTAAGCTAAGGCCATATGAGAAAGCCTTATAAATTAATGGTGTGTGAAATCTACCTGACCTTGCTTTTAACTAATCACGTCATAGGCTATCTGCCTATTAGTCATGAAAATTCAACCTGGAACATCAATGAGTCACAAGAAATTGATTTCCTGGCAGAGTCAATCTATAAGTAGTTGGGATCACAAAAGGAAACCAAAACAAACCCCCAAAAAACCTAGATCTAATTAGATGTGCAAACTAACAAACAAGTGCTGGCTTTATCCTCCTTCATCATAAAAAGGGGGAAAAAAAACCCCAAACAACTTCCATATATTAACAAAGTCTCTTCTTTAAAGCATTAGATCACACTCTGATTTTCTGAAAAACGCTAAAAAGTTCATGCCATAGTTTTAGTTAATTATATACACTGGTCATCTTTCTTCTTTCACTTTTCTAACAGCTCAAGAGTGAATTATTTTTGATTATCTGTTTTATTTGTTGGCCTCCCCTTAAATTCCTGTCACAACAACTTTAGCTGTTCTTTTTTTCTAAAGACCTATAAAGATGCAGGGTCTCCCTCTGTAAAGAGTATACAAAAGTTTTTAACATTCAGCTTTTTTCCTCTAAAGAACTTACAGTGAGTTAAAATATAATTTAAACTTAATTAAACAGTTATAGCCATCAAGTTCACTTAAATATTTTGATTTTTGAAAAAAAGAAAAAGATCCATAAAATACAAACTACTGAGTCCAATACCCTGACCTTTTACAACTAGTATAAGTTTATAATAGGAATTCAAGTAAGACTAATTTTAAAAAGTAGAGCTGTTAAACCAGTTGTTCTGAGGACGTGCTTTACTGAATATCTAGTGTTTTCTGGAAGGCATGTGACACTGACTCTTGATACCATCTCACGAAGAATGATAATGAAGAAAATCTATAGTAATACACCTCAGGGTTCTATAGTCCCATAGATTTTATTTAACATTTTATTAATGATTTTGATGCAGGGTACTTTAATGGAATATTCACATTTGTAGAAGACATAAAGCTGACAATGAAAGCTAACCTAATAGATGGCAGGAAAAAAATCAACATATGAAAGACCCCAAAAGAGTGGAATAATGGGCCAAATCTAACAAAACAAAATAGAGCAGGAGAAATGTGAGATTATAAACCTTAATGAACTGAATCAGAAGGCAGGCTTGCCACCTACACAGGTAGATAAGCTTCTAAAGCTGTTTTAGCACAAAATTATAGAAGGAGTATATAAACTCTGAAGTGAGGTACATCTGGGTTCAAATGCTGGGTCTGACACTTACTAGTCACATTGGGTAAGTCAATTAACCTATCTGGGCCTTAGTTACCTTATCTATAAAATATGGTACTGTACTCTCCTGCTTCCTTTTTGCAGGAAGGCTGTGAGAAGGAAGTAATATATGTAAAGACATAATCCAATGCCTAGATAATAGTATTTAATCAATAGAGTTCTTTTACTTATTTATTTTTTAAAGCTTAAAAAAAAGTTTACGCAATTATATGCCAACAAATTGGGCAATCTGTAAGAAATGGGATAAATTGCTAGAAACATATAATCTACCAAAACTGAAACAGGAAGAAATGGAAAATTTTAACAGACCTATAAACAGCAAAGAAATTGAATCAATTATCAAAAATCTCCCAACAAACAAGAGTCCAGGGCTGGATGGCTTCCCAGGGGAATTCTACCAAACATTTAAAGAAGAGTTAATACCTATTCTTTAGAAGCTATTCCAAAAAAAGAAATGGAAGTTAAAGTTCTAAACTCATTCTATGAGGCTAGCATTACCTTGATGCCAAAACCAAAGATCCCACTTTGGGAAATATACACCAATTTCCCTGATGAACATGGATGCAAAAATTCTCAACCAGATACTAGCAAACTGGATCCAACGATACATTAAAAGAATTATTTGCCACGAACAAGTGGGATTTATTCCTGGGCTGCAGTGCTGGTTCAATATCTGCAAATCAATCAGTGTGCTACATCACATTAATAAAAGAAAGAAAAAGCACCACATGATCCTCTCAATAGATGCAGAGAAAGCATTTGACAAAGTATAGCATCCTTTCTTGATAAAAACTCTCAAGAAAGTAGGGGTAGAAGGAACATACCTCAGTATCATAAAAACCATATATGAAAGACCCATAGCTAATATCATTCTCAATGGGGAAAAAGTGAGAGCCTTTCCCTCGGAGATCAGGAACACAACAGGGATGTCCACTCTCACCACTGTTGTTGAACACAGTGTTGGAAGTCCTAGCCTAAGCAATCAGACAACAAATTATTCCAAATTGGCAAGGAAGAAGTCAAACTTTTTCTCTTTGCAAATGACATAATACTCTATGTGGAATACCTGAAAGACTCCATCAAAATACTGCTAGAACGGATACATGAATTCAGCAAAGTCACAGGATATAAAATCAATGACAGAAATTGAATGCATTACTATACACCAATAATGAAGCAGCAGAAAGAGAAATCAAG